AGCAATCTTTATCACGAAACCTCCGGGGTCTCGTCCCTTCTTTGGAAGATCATGTTGCATAGCACTCGCTGCTTCATAGACTATTACCTTCTCCCCGTCTCTGAACTTCCTCTTCTTTGTGACCAAATCTTTAAAGAACTTAACGTACGATGGCATACTCTTGATCACGTCTAGGATAGGCAAGTTAACATTGACCTTCGAGAGCATATTGTAAAGGTCCCGAAATTGCTGTTCTTGCTTCTCATCTCGAAGTCTACTCGGAAAAGGGATGCGTGGCTTATATGGGTTTGGGGACTTGTGAATGAACTCTCTGTCGGTTTTCCCGAATCGGTCTCTGTGTTCTTCGCGCTCTCCTCGGTCCCGTTGGGCTGGTTGATTTGGGGTCATCAGGCTCGGGCATTCTAACTTTGTTGTCCACTTCCTTACCGCTTCTCAACACGGTTATTGCTTTGGCTTGCTCTGGCTGGCTCGGAAGTTTTCCTTTGTCGGATTCGGCTTCCATGTTCCTGACTCTTGTGGCGAGCTGACCCACTTGCGTCTCGAGACGCTTAATGAATGAGTCCTGGTTGGTGATATACTGAAGGATCTTGTCCAGCTTGTCATCTTGGTTTGACGAGCTTGAACCGGACCCTTGGGCTGACTGTTGGTTTGCTGTTGTTGTTGGTAGTTTGGGCGAGGGATGAAACTGGGATGAGGTTGTTGTTGCGTGAAGTTTGGACGAGGCTGCTGTTGGTTGAAGTTTGGGCGGGCTGGCTGAAGGGTGTTGCTGTTGTTGGACCACGAGAAATGTGGGTGATTCCTCCATCCAGGATTGTAAGTGTTGGAGAAGGGGTCGTTGGGCTGCCGGTTCTGATATCCTTGAAGAGCATTGACGTCGGCATATTGCTCTCCAAGGTCCTGATCGAATGTCGATGGGCACACCTCTGACCGGTTCCCTTGGGCTCCACACGCCCCGCATGTGTCCACTGCCATGGTTTGTACTGGCTGCATTGTCCGAGCGTTCATTAGCCGCATTTGCTCCGTCAGTTCGGCTATCTGATGGGCCATCATGTCTCATCCCGAAGATACTTCATTGACCACCGCTCTCTTTCCTCTACTGCTCTTTTGAGACGAGCTAGAACTCAACGCCTCAAAAATATCCATCATCTCCTCCGTTGTTCTCGCCCCAATGTCTCCACCAGCTGCATTGTCCACCATGTACTGAAGGTTCTGGTGGAGAGAATCGTAGAAGCCGTTCATCAAAAGGGCTGGAGGAAGATTGTGATGTGGGCACTGCCTCTGTAGGTCCTTGAAGCGTTCCCACGCTTCGTGAAGTGGCTCGTGCGGTTGTTGGGCAAACGAGACAATTTGGGACCTCAGCTCTTGAGTTTTCTGGTGGGACTAATACCTCCTGATGAACATTGAGTACACTTGCTCCCACGTGGTAAGAGAATCTGGAGCAAGTGTCATAAACCAAGCCTTAGCCCGGTCCTTGAGAGTCTCCGGAAAGCACCTCATCTTCAACTGATCCTCGTTCAGCCCGTGAAGTGGAAAGGTTTGGAGCACGTTATAGAATTCTCGTATGAAGTGGAGCGGTCTTCGTTAGGTAGCCATGGAAGGATGGGAGTTGGTTGTAGTGGATGGTTTTGAGCTCATAGTTTCGAGCTGCCGTCCCTAGTCTGATGCAGGAAGTCACTGGCCCGATCACTGGTTGGGCCAAATCGCGAAGAAGAGACCTAGGGGGATTATTAACTTCCTCGTCTTGCTCGTTCTGTGCCATATCCGTTTGGATTTCTGATGCAGATGACTCTAGAGCGAGACTAGCTAACAAGTCTCGTAGGTCCTGTTGGATGGATTCGTCGTTTGGGATGATTACACGACCACTCCTGGTACACATAAACACAAACAACAAAAACGTCACGGGCACCAGATAGACAACAAAATGAACAAAGAGAAATCAAAACAAAGAAAACAATGAAACTAGACAAAGAAAACAAAACAAAAGAAACACAAAAACAAGAAATCACAGAAAATAAGAGAAACACTGAAAACAAATGAATAGGCACACAAAATAAGTCCTAAACCTTCTCCGGCAACAGCGCCAATTGTTGTAAGTATTTTTACCGGAGTAGAATCAAGAGATTCGTCCCCCGGGTCGTATCACAAGGAAGGTCGGCCGGAATAAATTGCACGACTATTCGAACACACGAAAGTAGAAAAGAATTTCAAGACCTAAACACTCTAACTCAAATTGGGGTTTTTTTTTTTATTATCAACTACGAATTTTAAAGCCAAGAGTTGCAAAAATTCAAAAGCAAACGATTAACTTGATGATAAAGGAGTTAAGGAATCGGGGATAATTGTTTTTGGTTATTGACTCAATTACCGGGCAATCAATTGCTCGGTTAAGGGGTTTGAATCACTTACTCGTATGGAGGTCCACCTTCAATAACTCTTCGTAACAAGAAGGTGAACATACACGAGCAACTCATCAAACCCTACAACTCATAGACAATACAATAACGAACAAGTCTATTCCAAACGAGCCTAAATCGACCGACGTCTCCCCTTTCGGTTCTAACGTCGATTAATTAGGTTAAATTGGGGATCAATCAATTAACCCTAGGATGAGATCAACTCGCATAGATAGAGCAATTATCAAACACGTAATCGAAACGAACCGAAACAATTATCCCATATCCCTAACTTATGGAGTTAGCCACTCATTGCAATCTCAACACAAACATTCACAATAAAAGAAGCCATCACATCCATGTATAAGATGAAAATAAAATCTTACTATTAATACCAAATCCAATGTCGAAAGAACAACGAGATTACCGAATCCAAAAGCTAGAAAACGAGTTCTTCAATCTCCAAATCCAATCCAAGATGAAAAACAAGTGAAAGATATGTTCTAGAGATGAAAAAGCTCCGAAAAACGAAGTCTGAATGAATAAAATTCGTCCCCCATTCGACCCTTAAGCTTTCCAATTCGAAATTCTGAGAAAACAGCTTCAGTTACAAAACGGGGTATAGCGGCGCTATGCCATAGCGCCGCTAAGGGTGAATATGCTCGACTGCAGCCCATCGCTTCAAAACGTAGTGCCGCTTCCTCAACAGGCCATAGCGAAGCTAAGGGCATAGCGGCGCTATGGCCTGGACTGCTCCAAAAATTCTTCGACTTGGGCTCACATGGTCTCGGCTAGCGTCCCTCGGGTCTATCTCGAGCTAGAAACTCAATCCTCGAATGCTCCAATCTAACAAACCGACACAGAACTCCTGGGATCCTGAAAACACCACCATCGAACACACACAAAAGCAAGAGAAAATAGAAGAAATAACAACGAAAATGCTAAACACAACGAAAAATACTAAAAACTCGAGAATGACTAAAAAGGATCGGAAAATCCTAACAAAAGACCTAAAACGGGGGAAAACAACACACAAAATAGCAATGAAAATAGTAAAGAAAACGGGACAAACAGGTACCTTGAGCATTTCCACATTTTGGATATGCTTTCTATATTTGCATATATGCTTACTTGCACATGTATCTATTATCCATTCATTTTGATTAATTCCACCCAAAGCTGATAAAGCAAAATACAAATCACAATTATCTTTTTCCCTCAAGGCTCATAAACTGAGCATAATCTACCTTTCACTCCATATCTTCTTTGACTCTGATATATTTTGTTAGTTCTTTTATAACTGAGTTGAGATAGTGAGAACTTGTCATGCGTTTTGCATTTCCATCAACATGTTGTTACTTTCATAGTTACACACCTATGCATTCACATAGTTCTTATTTTGTTGATCCTTCAAATCATTGTACCTATCTGGTACTCCATGTATTTTGAAGCATGTGCACACGGTGTTCCCCCTCATTCCACACTTATCACACACCAATTTAGCCTTCTCTTTCTTTCTCATTCTATGAAATCCCCTTCTCTACCTCCCGATTTCCATCGACTTCCTTCATTCCCTTTTTATCTTGGCTAAAAGCTCTTCTTCCATATCCTGTTTTAGCCACCATTGCCATATTATCCACTCTCCCTCCATATTCATTCTGTATTGACTTTTGTTTTTCAGTTGTGAGGATCATAGAATGTCTTATTTACTGTGGGGAAGGGATCTATCAAGCATTGAGATTAAGAAACTCACGATCAAAGGAAGATGATTTTATAAAGTCTTCATTTTTGTATTGTAACGATTGAGAGAGCTCGACTAGTACTTATTATATGAGAATTATGAGAGCTCATATTTCCATTCTATTTCGTAGATATAGTCGAACTTTCAGTTTATGTTTTACGGCTGAAAGGGAGACATCTTTATCTTTTCTACTTTATTTACGTCACTTGGAAGCAGTGTTTGTGTGCCTGTGAAGAAATCCACTATAGGTTTTTAAGTTCACGCGTTAGCTAGAAAAATAACTAAGAAATTAGAATGCAGGAACAATATGATTAGAAAGAAATTATAGTTTCGTAAATCTATACTGTGCTATGTACGCGCGACAATTTACTAGTGAAAAAATTTTGACCGTGATTGGATGCTTACTAAAAAGAATTTTTAATCACTTTCGAATTTTATTTTGTGTTATTAGATAAAACTAAAAGTCACGCACACTTAAATAAAAATATACAATTTTATAGTATTGTTATATATTTTTAGTGAAATGCTACAGTTCGCTATGAAACCAAGCAGTCGGAGTTTGTAACCATAAATCAACGATACCGGATACATAATGATCTCACGGTTACAAACCTCGACGCAATGGTTCCGTTACGGGATCACAACATTTCTACTACAAGAAATTAACACGTACTCACGCAAAAATTTATCAAAATAGTCAATGGAGTTGTTGGACGAACATTCTGATTGACCCAGCACACCACGCCTATAGCATTTCCTCCATTAAAGCTCTTCAGCTCGAATTTGAACTATTATAGTTCTAAATTCTTATTGAATACCTGAATCTAATACTTGGAGTCCGTTCCATTAAGATCTCATTACAGAAAATGCACGATTTCTGCTTCACGATCCCGTATGGGATCCTCCTGGTGGCCGGCGGCGTGATCGGATACGTTAAGAAAGGCAGCGCAGCTTCACTCGCTGGTGGCGCCGGCACCGGATTGGTGCTCATCCTCGCCGGATACCTCAGCCTTCAAGCCTATCACAAGCGCAGAAGCTCTTACTTTGCTCTGTTTCTCGAGTTAGGTGCGTATCCGCTCCTTCTGCTCGCTCGCATTTTATCGCTTCTTTTTCTTTTTCCCCGAGAATAATAGAATGCGCGCGATTATGTAGCTAGAGTGATTATTCATGGATCTGTGTGGATATATTGTGTTCCGTGTAGATGTGGTAATTTGGATGAAATAGGATTAAACCGTTGAAGTTACGGATTTAGCATGTTGATACTTGACTTTTCATGTGCAAATGTTGTTTTAAGGGAATTTTGTTATGTCAATGAAGACGGGGAAGAAAACAAACAGTATTTGTGGCCATTTCTTTTGTTACTTGGTGTTTGCATAGCCGATTTCATGAGATACCTCGTATCCCCCAAATCCTGAGGCTATAATCATATTAATGGGAATAGCTCATTCTCACTAGAAAGTTTTTGTGTGGATTATCTTGCAGCTGAAACTATTTGGAGGAAAAAATATAGGACCTCGATCCATTGCAAATGTTCGTTGTAAAAGATTTATATATTTTAACTTACATAGAGAATTTGGTTAGCAGATAATTTCGTATGGGTTTATGTTATCTTAATATATATGTACTTTTCTGAACCTTAAGTATCAGGAGATCAGTTTAAGCAAACTTCCTAGTGATCCTAATTTCGTCATGATGCACATTTCAATTCTAGTCGACTAGAAATCCAGTCATCATTTATTCTTTTATGGTATTTCATTCTTGTGAGAAAGTAACTGAGATTATATTTCAAATAGAAGTTGTTCATATCAGTTCAAGTATCTATTAACATTTTGCCCGGTCTTGAACTGAATTTGGTTATGCCGGAAAAAAATCGTTAAAATTATTCATTTCTATTTAACTTCAATTTAACATATGTTTTATTATGTATTCTTTGAAATACTACAACATCTACTGATTCGACTGATGTTCCTTCCAACAGCTGTTGCTTCCCTGCTAACATATGTCATGGGACAGCGGTACATGAAGACTGGGAAAATAATGCCAGCTGGTATAGTTGCTGGGATCAGGTAAGATAGAGTAAACCTGCTTTATAGTTCTGGAAAATGGATGCATTTATCATTCTACATGTTCTTGAATGTTGATATTTATATATGTGAAGTTCATACTTCGTACCCTACTTTTGTTGTATCTGCTGAATCGTTTTATTAGGTAATACACTTTGGTTTGTTCACTTGTTCCACCTGACGTACTAAAATGTAAGAGTGATTTTTGTTTCCTCATTTCATATGATGCAGCGACTACCAGCCCTCTTACTACCTTCTTTTAAAGAGTAGTTCTTCATTTTTCTGTTCGTTAGAAACTTCTCCTTTAAGTTTGCATTGTTAAAAATCTTTGCACAAGTCCTAGGAGATTTTTACTCATGAACTATAAAAAATTTACTTAATGATCTATGTACATCTGGTAAGTGTGTATGCTTTAAATATTAGTGCTCTCGACACACACACACACACACACACATGTCCACATGCGTACACATACATTTTTCATCATCTTTCGTTCAAGCCTTGAGAATCCATGTTGCTATCGATTTATCCTCGTTCCCTGTATTTTTCAATATATTGAATTTACACTCCTATAACCCACTTACTCTAGTTAAACTTATTCACGCAACCATTACCGGAATATTGCACTCACATTTTGATGAAGGGTCATGTAGGAACTATAATGTTTGCATGGTGAATTTCTTCGTAAAATAGCAATCGACCATCAAGAACTATTTTTAGGAAGCATTTGTTTGAAAGTTGCATGCAGTCTATTATTCCCCTGTCAGTAATGTTCTTAGAGGTAAATGACATGGAAATCAACTTTCGTGAACTCTATGATTTCCGTTTTTGTAACCCCCTTGATATTCTGTTTAGATGGGAATCATCTTAAAAAGTAGAGCACAACTGATGCTTTAAATATTGTAACTCTTTTTAGTTGTATGTCTGTGATTGAGAATTACTTTGTCTTATGAGTTGACGGATAATTTTTACTAACATTGTGTTATTTTCTAGTCAACAGTCTATTAATTTGATCTCACAATTTGCTGCAAATTTTGCCATCTTTTTGTTTTATGCAGTGTGGTGATGGTTGTGTTCTATCTTTACAAGATTGCAACTGGTGGGAATCATATTCCTCCAAAAACCGAGTAATATTGGATTCTCTGATATCATGGATTTTATGAAGACTGCGGTTAAAAGGTTTTGTTGTTGTGGTTAAAGTACAACGTCTCAAAAAGAACGGCGTTTCTTGCTCCGCTATTGATATTGACATGCTAATTGTAGCCAAAGCCTGTAACTCTCAATATACTTGTAATTCTCAATATACTCGAGCTTGCTTTAAACTTTTGAACTTCTCATCACCAAATCATACACGTGCTTCTAATTTTACCTATTTTATTATATATTATACATTTCTCATGTGTTTAGTCTTTATATACCGTAGCATAGTTAGAATTTGGTGTAGCACCCAAAATAGCTCGGTGGACTGACCTGAGTGGTTAGCTCGGGAAAGGCGGTCCAAAGGAGCCTAAGTTCGATAATTGCGTTTAACCTAGTCAGGGAGCTCGCTTAGGCAGCTTTGAGCATAGGTGGACTTGATCGGATGGTTTGGAGGTCGTACTCCTCCAATAGCTGGGTGAGATAAGGAGACCGCATGAGTCGAAGGTTAAGAGAATGCATATCGCGGTAACGACCTTGTTGACCTAGTAACTCGGAGGTTATAAGAAAGAAGGCCGTGGTTGCAACTTGGTTTGAGCTAAAAGCAAGTGAGTCACGAGATCCGAGTTGTGACACAAGTACTTGAGTGTCGTATGGAAAGAGGGGATGGAACCCTTCATGATGGAAAGCGAATCTTGTTAAAGAGTATCAGATCTTAAGAGACGTGATAAGCTAGGAAAATGGGTATGAGCATATCTCTTTCCTATTCAAGACTCACTTAGGCATCAAGTTACCATAGTATATAAGGATGGAAAGGTTTTATTTTACATATAACATATTTTATGCACCTAAGCATGATATTTTACGGTTTATTCTGACGAGTAAGTACTGTTGTAGCAAATTATATTTTTTACCGAGTATCGAATCAAAAGATTCGTTCTTCGGGTCGCTCGCTCGAGGAAGGTTAGCCAGAATATCTTGCACGTGTATTTAATCACAAAAGAGAAAACAAATTGCGAAACACTTTAATCAAGAAGGTTTGGTATGAACTATCAACTAACAAATCTCAAACACAGCAAAATCAGAATCCAAAGCAAAAACAGTGAACCAACAATGATAATGAAGTTAGGGAGTCCAGATAATCGTTTTGGTTCGAAACACAATTAATCGGGAAGTGATCAGTCGGTTAAAGGACATTAACCTACTCGTTCTGAGTTTCATCCTCAAGAACTTTTCGTAACAAGAGAATTAACATGAACGACAAGTTAACTAGTTGTTTAACTCATAGGAAATATAGGTTCGAACAAGTCAATACGAGCCTAGACCGAACAACTTTTCCCCTTTTGATTCTAAGAGTTGATTAATTTATGCTAGAAGGTGGTTAATTGACTAATCTATTAGAATTATAAAACATCAAACTAGAATGAATCATATCCAACTAGAAATCAATTGAAGTTGAAGTGTCACTATAGAACAACATTCAACATTCAAGCATGATAATTTAAAACCCTTTTAAAAGCACCCCACATAAACTGAACGATCAACAAACACGATAATCACAATCGAATCCAAAACATTATCCTTTATCCCTAGAAAAAGTAATTAGCCACTCATATCGGATTCAACAAAAACATTCACAAGCACCCATTCATTCATATTCATGGATTAGATGAAAAGGAAAACTGACGACGATAAGAGAAAATCGAATGTTGAATCCGATGTGCAAGCTTTATTCGAAAATAGAGAACAAATCAAGATGAAATACAAGTGTCAGATTCAAGTTATAGAAAGAAAAATTGAACAAAAACGAGTCTCCAATGAATCTTTTTGTCCTAGGCACGAGTGCCAATAAATAAGGATTAAAAAACGGGTCAAAATCCCGTCTAAAATCAAATTTCGAAAATTGAGGTCGTGGGCGTGCTAGGCCTCGCGAACGCGAGACTGCGCAGGCCTGATATACCTGCCAGAATGTCGCGTGCGCAACCCTCGTAGCATGCGAGACACGCCGACTCTCGCGGGCACGACGCTGAAACTGGGGCTGCGGAAGCACGAAACATGCAGTTGAGCGCGCAACGTGTGCAGATGCCTGGGTGCTGCGCTGGGCTTGCACGGGTCTCCTCAGGAGTGCGCGGATGGGCGCGAGGTCGATGCAGGCTACGAGGTCTACTCGGGAGTGCTAGGCGACAGCTACGCACCTGTGCGTCAGGGGCTCGTACGTGTTCATCTGGGCTCGGAATTGAGTCCTATTTTTTTTTTTTACTCATCGCCAACGAACCCTTCTACATAAGTCAGCTTGCACGACCATTTTTACTTAAAAATAATATCCGCCCGATGCTCCCGACTTAAACACCAAAAACGACACGAACACGAAGAATACCGAGAACACAAACGAAAACACTAAAAACCCAAAATAAAGAAAAATATGCAAAAAAAAACCACAAAATGGATTAGAAACCGAAGAAAAGACCTCAAAACAGGAAAAAAGAAAGACAAAACAATAACGGAAAATGCAATAAAAATAGAAAAAAGAAGTATTGACTTGAGCGTCGTAGGTCTTTCATCGGGACTATGCCCCGGCGTATTGCAGGTCATTGCTGCTCGAGGTCAACGTATGTTCCTTGGGATACCCCCTTGTACGTAAAAGACCTCATACAGGTTAGAAATCAACATGTTATAAGCTTTCTCGCCAGTTGAATACCTTTAAACTTGCAAAAACTCTTATACCGAAGGGGTTTTCCAGTGAAGAGCCTTTGATGTTTAAGTTATCACTTGTAGAAGATAAAGTGCAATATAAGTGTATGGAATAATGGAGAATGTAATGTGATAATAGGCATACCTCATTTCCTTATATAGGAAGATGATACATTGTTGCCCAAAACTATCCGAATGGGCTACCCAAACTGCACAAACTGTCTAAACTGTACGATAGTACAACCCGAACTACTGGATCTGCCCAATATGCCTGAACTACTCGATTTTGTTAAGCCACGTGGCCCTATCCACATGTCGCTCTTAAACCTTTAAAATTTGTTCTTATCATTTCGTCTTTCATATCAGACTGCCTAATGGTGCGACCAGCTCGAGTTCGTCTGAGGTAGTGTGTTGCCTGTTCTGAGTCTAAGTATTGTCCTTTCTGGTTGATCATACGACCAACCGTGCCCTACAGGTCAAGTTTCCAACAGGCCATTAGAGGGCCTAACTCAACTTGTCGTTGTCCTTTTGAACCCCTCGCTCCTTTCGACCTGAAGACTTCTTGTCGGCGATCGACCTCTATGTTGCTCTGACTTCAACCACTGTTTTGTTATTAACCTATATATTGTGTCTGCTCTTCCGGCTATAGTATCCCATATTATCTGGTCCCCCTACTATGATTGAGTTGGAATAACTCGACCTAAGAGTAGATTTGTCCTTGGTTTTGATTGATGCAATCCTACACTTTGATTTTCAACCTGTCTTCCTATATTTTCTTTAATTCTGTTGTACCACAGTTTTTCGACCAGTCTGTTCCTTTTCCCGCAATTTTCGACATTTTCCACTCCCCACCCCTTAGTCTTCATTTTGAATTTTCAAATCTCTGTAAATTTGTCAGATCTGTCCAGCCATAACGTCTTACCGACGTCAACACTGCGTAAATCGTGTTGGCTTCGCACGATGCATCCATTAAATGACTTATTAATGCAGTTGCTAGAGTCGCCTTTAATCCGACGGTTGAGCTTCACCGTCCTTTCCATTGGCCTCATTAATCTCTGTCGTTAATGCTAGCTCCGATCGAAGGTTCATAGTGCCTGCCATTTCAACTTCATCTTCCTGCAATCTCTACCACTGTCATCCAACGGTCCAAATAATACCGACTTCAAATCACCTACCATATCCTGGCCGTTTATATCGGTCATGACCCAAGCCAGGGTCGATTGACCCATGTCTTTTTCACCTATAAAAGAGCTTGAACCTGACTACTTCTTGTTTTCCCACCTTTGCAATTTCTCTCAGCAATATTTTTCTCTATCTCTCTGCAATCTAATTTTCAAGATTGTCGTTGATCCTTTGTGCTCTACCGCAGTTCATCAATTTTTACAAATCAACCAACCTCGACAATGTAACTGTTTGGTTTCTGAATTTTGCCTTTTGGTTTTGTGTTTTCCATTTTAATTTTTTCCCAAACTCTACGGCCACAAACTTCTCTTCTTCCTCCACTTCTTCCCAAAAACCCCTAAAATTCTCCTTATCGATTTTTTCCTTTTTTTTTATATTCTAGTACTTCCAATGAGGACGATTGCTACTCCAGAAAAGATATGACACTTCCGTCTTCCTCTTCAACACCTGGACCTAATTTTTCTCCTTCTTTGACCTCACCTGTTGAAGAAATCCTCCAATCCATTCCTCTCTCTGCAGTTCATATACAATCTTCATCTACCCAGGCTTCTCCACCCATGCAATGCCCTCGTCGACAACTCAAGCTTGTCGATGACCCTGGGGAGGAAGATGAGGATGATGTTGTCCTTCAACCTTAACCACTATCTTTCGTTCCTCCACTTTCGACCCCAACACCTATTCCCCAAGTCGGCCTTTCCTCCAGTTTCCAACATTCTTCACCTTTTTCTACTCTTGTCGATCCGTCTCTCACCCCTATTGGCAATGGGTGCATAGACGAGTACCTTCTCATTGCTGGTCAACCTACCAGCTAGGGCTTTATATACCCCTAGACCCCATGACACCTACGACCACCCTTCTGAAGGATACTACACCTTTTTCCATAGCCAGATAAAACTGGGTCCTCGTTTTCCCATATGTTAGACATTGCTTAACCTGTGCGATATTTTTGGCCTACCGACCAGCTTTCTCCGAAAACCATCTGTCGCTTGATCACTATCATCATTCTTCCATTCGTTCTTCTTGGTTGAATTGACTTTGACATTTTCTTTTTATTCCTTTGTTGCCAAGGGCCATAAAGCATGGCTCTACCTCCAAAGTCGAAAAAAGGCCCACTTTCTCTT